ACATTAATTAAGTGGCGAAATTTTTTTCGAAGTGAGAAAATAAGATTATTGACATACACTTGTACAGATTGAAAAAGCACCACTACTTGTTTTGACAATGAAAGTTCATACTCTCTATATATTTTTATATGTTTACGTTTCAATGCCTTTGTCCGAGATAAAATTTCCAAATAAATGTATTGGTTCGTCAATAGGCGTTGCTTTAAAAATCACGTGTTGGGAAGGACAAATAGAGACAGAAGTGCACGGAATTTTTGCGGAAAAAAAGGGAATGTAAATATAAGAAATAACTCTAAGATTTTTGGTTTCAGGACGATGATCAATCGATTGGCTTGCTTGATAATTTTGTTGAAAAAACGCCTTCAGCGTTAATGCAAATTATCACCCAAGCCAATCGATTGATCACAATCATCATGAAACCAAAAAATTAGAATGTTATTCCTTAAAAAGATTACTATAACTTTCACTTACAGTCTCTGTCTCTGCTGAAATACACAATTAGGACATAACCAGTCTGTCCAGGTTTACACTCATACAATCGTCCGACTGTCGAAATACCTTTAAATTCAAGTTCAAATTTAAGTTAAATTTGCTTTTTTAAAAAAGACCAATCAAGGATAAGATTTTTCTCGTAAAAAATCACGAGTAAGGTAACAAAAATTGAAAAGAGGTCAACGGAACTATGATATATTATTGTATTATAAATATGATATATGCATGTGTTATATATTTTTTTAAAGAAACATGTCTATAATATATAGTATCATAATGAATGGAAAAGGAAATATAAAAAGGATAAAACATGTATAGCAGAAAAATCTCTCATAACATATTTTACTTATCAACTAACAAGATTCATTGTTGACATTTGGCACAACTCCTGTGAAGGAATGTAGTATATAACTTCTCTGTAAAGCTGTAGAGGCAGAGTTTTGTTTAGCATCTTTCTTAGATCTGCCTCTTCCTTTGTGTTCCTCCTCTTTTTCCACTTCTCCTTCTTCATTTTCAAGCATTATCAAAACTCTGGAGACGAATTCATCAGCATCCTTGTCAAGCTCCTCATATTTGTGTTTTATCTACAATAAGGCTAGTTTTAAAGATATGTATGCCGTGGTAAACAGTATTTTTGCACAGCTGAAACCGAACAAAAAATTTTTAAGTATGATAAGCTATCAAAAATGAAGCATTTTTGCAAATTCGACGAAATATTATTCGGTATTAACAAAGTACTAGTCGGGAAAAGAACATGATATTCCCATGCATATTTATAAAGGACTGACCTTTATCCTGGATCTGCACATGTGCGCGGGAAAAGCATCACGAGAATCATCAGGTCGAGGAAAATATTTTTGTGACGTCTGTTCAGTGAGGAACCAATATGACTGACAAATCGACCAATCAGCTCAATGAATTGCATTTAATGCATTTATGGATGAAATTCATGAAATACTACATGTGCTTTTCGAAAGGGCTAGTTTTTTAAATCGCTCTCGGAAAGACTTGATGCATTTTCCCAAACATTTACACGCTTAATGCATTATGTACATTATAACATGTATTTACTAATCCCAAGCTCATATTTACATACAAATGATTAACAATGATAAAAATTAAAGGTTTCCCCACTCCATTGTACAGGTCCGTTTGTTTAGAGTTTCCCCGTGCTGTACTGCTATTGAAAAGACAATTGCAAGTGATTCTTCCACGATACAAAAAGCAACCAACTCTGAGGTGTGCTCACGTATTGATAATCCCTAACTCACGTGTTTGTAGTGAAAACGTAGAAGACCATCATGCTTTTCGGTTCATTCACGAGATTGGAACATTGTTTGCTGTGAGCATGCGAGACCACGTGATCATGAATATTTCAGTAAGAGGCGTTTTATTATCCGACTCGGAGAGAAAATAATTTTTACCAAATAATATTTCATTACTTTTAAAAGTGATGGAGTGGAATTGTCTTATTTGCAGAAAGTATATAACTTATATAACTTGATGAGACACCAAATATATATATTTCTTTTACAATAAAACACTAATGCGGCTTATATATCTTTAAGTTTCATCATTAAAAAACTTGAAACATTAAAGATATTCATTAAAGCTCAATAATGAGTTGATGATGATAATGGATATTTGATTAAAGTAACATTTACTATTGTGAGAAGAAAAAAATCCAAAAGAAAAACTTAACTATAGCTGTTTTGTTAAACTTGGAGTTGGTAGTTTATAATTAAGGAGACTGTTCATAATTACAGACTCAATCTTTGTTAGAAGCGATACGCGGAATGGAAAATCTCGAAGGGTATGATTTTGTCTTTAGCAACAGATAGTTCTGAACATTATTATACACATTTATCTCAGTGACTGTATTTAAAATTTTGAAACTTGGTATTTGAATTTTTTCTCGATCACTTGTAACGTAACCTTCCCAGCAAAAGGGTAGTTCATGCATTTAACATACCTTCCTATTATGCTGACAAAATTCATTTAGTATCGTAACAGGTGTCTTTTCTATCTTTTTCTCTGGAGTTATTTTCGTACTCCATATTTCTAATGCAGCCTCCGCTGCTTTATCTTTTGCTGCCGTTTTATTGCTTCCAATTCCAGTGAACACCTCCTCTCCCAGTGTTAAAGAAGCAAGAAATCCCTCTGGGTGTTGTTCAAATTGACTAAAAATCTGAAAATAAAAACAAGAAAATCTCAAAAACAAGAAAAAAATGTTTTCCTCATTTAACATTGCAAGGCCATCTTTGAAATAATGTTTGCATGCCCTTTCCCAGATCAGCAAAATTTTGGGATTGGTATGTACATGTACAAATATAATGTAGGTGGAAGTTTTTTTCCATAACGTTTAAAGATATTTGTAGACAAGGATTAAAAAGAAAATAATACATGGAACGTAATTCCGTTTTAAATGGACTAAAATTTAAGGAATGATCACTTTTTGTTATCTTTACAATAATTCAGATTGACAGAGGATCATGTTGTAGTGAGAAATCCAGCTAACTAGATGTGTGGCACATATTTCAATACTACAAGGACATATAGAGTTGCCTCGGTTCATAAACGTTTGTCGTGGGTAAAATTTTTTAAACAATGGCTATTTATAGATATATGGATTTACACTTACCGCTGTCTGATTTTTCTGTGCTAATTCATCTAATTGTTTGTAACTACTTTTTGGTGTCTTGGGAGCAAAATCTGACTTTTCGGCCATTTTTAAGAGCTGCCATGGAAAGATAATAAGCACGTTGTTATTAATTTGCTATATCATGTTTTAACCATGCTATTTCGAAGAAACATATGCACAACTTTCATTTTCTTTTTCTAGACCTACATAAACCATCTTTGATTTTTTTCGCAGTTAATTTCTTACTTATTCATATCATATTAAGATCAACGACAGTTTAAACAAAATGTATCAGTATACAATTTTTCATTTTTATTTTTTTAGCAGTAATCAAAAAGAAGATCGAAATACAGTGTTTTTTCTACATTTTCGCAATTCATGTTTTCTCTGGAGAAATATCTATTGATAATTGGTTATATATTTATTATTTCTCAAAATCACTTACCTGAGGAAGAATACCTAACACCAGTTTTCTTCTCACTTGATATTTGAAATAGCAAACTCAGCATTGATATGTCAACAAGGTTTGTTTATAGTTTTAGGGAATTTCCACCTTCTAATTTTAGAAAATGACGAAAACATTCGTAGTAGATCCTGCCTTTCTTTCTCTTATACAGATAATTTTTTTAATGGATTCAACCCTTTCCCATTGGATTTTATATTTTGATTGTTCCTGGTTTTTGTCATCGCATCTTTGTATCATTGCATCCAGATTTTAAAAATAGCCATGTTTACTCTATCAAACAAATTCGTCATTGATCTTGACCCAGATACAGTGTATGGAAGTCCAAAACAGCAAAAAATTAGAGGGAAACATTGTTTTTGTTTCTTTTTCTTCTTTTTTTACACATGTGATTGTATATTATCAATTTAATACAAGAGATAAAAACGGAACCAATAATCAATATATATTTATTTACTGTGAATAAGAAACATGCATTAGTAACATACAATACGCAAGTTTCGAGATTATCTCCCTTGGTGCGATCTTTCGTTGAGGAGGGGAGTTTCGTTGCCGCGTAAACAAACAGGTGGGACTAATATTTGATATTTAAATATTGGATACATTGTATCATCGATATATTTGGTTTATCATAACTACATGATTGTCAGGATGCATTCTACATTTCGAGAATAACTGAATTAATTTAAAGACGTCATTTCGTAAAGCAAAGAAATCGTAACAAAAAAGAAAATGTCGGTGGATGTGAGACTTTTCAGACGAGGGAAAAAAATTTGACCTCTAATAAAAACGATACACATGCATCTGATCATTGTACGTAGGTGATCTAGGCGATTCTTTTCCTTACTATAACTTAAAAAAAAACACAAAGTTTTTTAAAATAGTTTGTACGATCAAGAAAATAGGTTACTTTTTATTACGTTTTTATTACATAATTTAAAGTATATTTGTAAATATGCATAGTTGTACTTGATAAAATCATCAAATGCATCACTGCATAATATCATTACCTTTTTATAACATTTAATAAATTTTAAAAGCCATAAACATCGTTCATTTATTTATGCACGTTATGTACATAAACAACCTGTCCCACCTCCCTGCCGAAATGGATACTTTTTGCGCCTCTATCGTAGGAGAGTAACAATCTCAAAACTGGCGTATTACTGCCATTGTGATGATAAAAAGTGTTTTCATTCCAACAAAATTAAGAAAAAGGATTTCAAGAAACAAATTAAATCAATGGAAGTACCTTTTTGAAATATACATTGTATTTTCAAATGTGGGTAAATTGTGGTTAAAAGTGCGGAAAAATGCGGAAAAATCAATCCTGAATTTGTAAGATGATAATATAATGTAAAAAAAAAATTAATATCTATAAACAAAGTTTTGATTTTTTTTAAGTTGAAATAAATATTTACATGTATATCAATATAACTAAATATCATACATTAAAGTGCCACCTTAAAAAAATAATTACTTAACATTTTCAATCAAGCACAAGAGTGATCAACGAAATTGTATTCAGTATTTCCAAAAAAAAAAAATCAAATTCTTATATGCACTGCTTTTTTTCAGTTTTTGTAAGTACCGCTGTGGCAAACTGATACCGTTAATAAGGATGCCGTTCGATTAACATAAAAGAAAGAAATATTTGTTAAATAAATGCCAAAAAACAAATTAATTTTAATCCTTGCTATTTATCATTGTTTAATATCACCAAAATGTACCAACCACGTTACATGTATTTATTGTTTTGAAATTTTCAGATTTTCCCTTTGGAAAACACAATGTAAGGGAAATTTTCGTTTCTTATATATTATGAACACCATGATAATGTGCATGTATAATTCCTAAAGTCTTACAATCTGAGAAAAACAGTCAGTTGTGATATTTTTATACTTTGCAATCAAATTAGAAAAATAATTTTCAGGTCAATCTTCAAAGTCGTTTTCTGCGAACAATTGTCTGTTTTGATAAATGAACATTAAAACATCATGGTTTCTGTGCTAAAACATGTGCTTTAGAACGTTTTACAAATGTCTTTTCCGTTTAGTGAACAAATGAGTAATGCATAACTACTACATTGTATTAGTATTATGTCGTTCGGAACGTTTTACGACTGAATTGTCTGTTCCGATAAATGAACAACGAAACATAATGGTTTAAAACAGTGTACTAAAATTATGAGGTTCGGAATATTTTACAATTGTCTGTTACAATAAAAGAACAACAAAACAAAGTCGTTTACAACATTGTACTAAGTGTAAGATGAAGTAGAAAATCACAAAACCTTCAAATATCACAACAATACATTTCTTGTGAGTTAAGATAATGCTGCTTAACAAAGAGTCAAACAAAAGATATGACTAAGCTAACTAAATCACTTTTATATATTAGTTATTAATAATTTATAATGTAGTATATATTTGTACTTTCTTTTGCACTTCAAACCATAAATGCGACTAGGTTCCTCGGTTTTTTATGGAATCATTAATCATTCCAGCTGTGGTGTTTTTACATATACATTGTAGTTCTTTATATCAATAAGTTGTTGACACATTTTGAGCAAATCATGATTAATTCACTTAAGTCTCATATCATTTGTTTGCATATTTTCGTTAACAGCTTTACTTATCTTTCCAAAACATGCATTTAATTTCTAAAACATACGTTAGAAGTTCTAAAAAGGTTTTGGAGATGTATGGTGGAAAACATTTTTTAAGAAACTAAAATAAAAATTTTAAATATAAAATGTGCTTATTCACCACGATACAAAAAAATTATATGTTAAATTGATTTTTGTAAATTTGGTAAAAACTCCCCCAGGCAATAGCAGGTACAATAATTAAATCAGAATTTAATGCTCCCACAGAATACAAAAGGTTATTTTTTGGCCATCAAAGGGATATTTATGTTGTTCTCGAGAAGGGAATTTAGAAAATATGTCAAATTATTTTTTTTTAATAATCAGAAAATGGATATATTATATCCTCCTATACTTTTGAAAATTAATCTAATTATTATTGGGACATTCTTTTGACCAATGTATAACTCTAGTGGCATTGTTCAAGGAAACGTGATTTTGAAAAAAAGTGTCACGTTACTGGAATTCTCTCCTCTTCAGATTCCGATTCCGTATCTATTTCTTCTCTCTTTGTTTTTAATTTACCCTTCACTAAACCGATCACACGAAGTCTAAAGCATACAAAATAGATAAACTTTGTTAATAAAATGTATAAATAATATACATACATGTACTTGGTATGTTAACTCGGACGCTTTTATAAATTCTCATGTAAGAATAGATTGTCCGTGCTTCCGTAATCCTTTCCTTCCTTTAGCACTTGCATCATGAAAAGAATTTCTTAAGACTGGTAATTTTTTTTACTTGAAATGTATATAAGTGTCGATGTTACATCTACTTACATATTTATAAATTGGATTTGAGGGCGACATGCGTTTTGTTGGAACCAAGAATATAGATATTGTTCTTATCCCTTGAGTTTTACGCGTTTTTCAAAACATTTACCTTGGACATAATTTTTGAACGGTACCTTTTAGGGCCTTCATATTTCATATGTGTTTCCCACATGACAAGGCCTTTTTCAGATGCCAACAATATAGACCTTCGATCTTGACTTTGGAGTTTGAAATTCTTTTGAATAACTTTAACATTGGCCATAATATATTAGTACAGTCGAGCTAGGATTTACTTTTTTCGTTATTAAACAGGTCGGAGAGAATACTCGAAATCGGGTATTATCCGTGAAATCGCGTATAATACTCGATATTAGGGTATCGTTGAATCCGCGAAATCGGGTATTCTGTGCAACTTTCTATAAAAACTAAAGAATAAAGCAACGGCGCATTATCCCAGTAACTGTTACTTGTACATCAGTATCTTGTGATTTTATTTTTATTAAACCTAATTCATAAGATTCTCAAATAAGTTTAAAATCACACGACAAACACTGCTGGGGTAACAAAGAGGACACAATGGCGTTATTATTTTTCAATATAATTTCTAAAAACAAACAACTACACTTCGTTTGTCTTTATTTCCCATTAAAGTATTCTATATACTTAATTTTCTAATTTGTGCACTATTCACAAAACGTGAAATTTTAAAGAAATTAAACGACTAACGCCGTGTTATGTATTTTTACTGAAAAATGTATGGCGTCCCTTTAATCGATACAAAATATACTATTTATTTTAACTATATTTTATGCATTTTTGTGAAAATTGAGAGCGAGAAGTCATATGAATAGGATTTTCTTGTGTTTTTTTTTTTTTTTTTTTTGGGGGGGGGGGGTTATTAATAAAAGTCAAATGTGTACATCTTTTCATGAAGTTAAAATACATTGAATTACAAAGTCAAGTTTTCACATTTCTTATAGTTTTTATTTTTATGAACATGTTAATTAACAAACTGAAATAATGGAGTGTTCAATTGCCTTGGAAACCTGTCTCACTTTTTGGGAATATAATTCCTCATCGGACATTATAATTTTATAAAAATCGTAGCCACTTCCTTTCTTCATTATACTATTTGATAGACAGGGTAAATTTTACCTCTTTACCTTCTATATTTTTTTTATATCGCAATCTTATACCTCATTATAATATGCTAATACAACGCTGATTGGTTCTAGACAATATGTCACAGTTTTCTTTTAGTTATTTTATCTACGATACGTATTACTCAAGGC